AGACAAGGATTAGATGGTGTTAATAATTTGGGGGGGGGGGGGGGGGGGGGGTGTATGAATAGCAGACACGGTCCATATGAGCTATCACAGGAGGAATAAAGACAAAGACAACATTTCTCCCTTCGGTGATCGGTGTACTAAGGGGGACCGCCATACAACAATCATATCCGTCATCATCAAAATGTATAAAGGGGGTGAAGGCTCCACATACTACACGTCTCATCTCCCCAGACCAATAGGTTGTGGCTGTGATCAGCAACTATGAGGCTATCTGCCCTGAATGGTGTTGACACTCGGCGACTGTCTGACTGGCTCCAGAACAGTGATATCTTGGTACATTGAATGCCGCGGGCCGTACAGTAGCAGGAAGCAGCATCACACTGAAGGTTAAAGGTCATTCAACAAGTCTCACCTGGCTGGGCATCGCTGGAGGTGGAGGCCAAAAATAGGGATTGTTAAAGCGTGGTTCGGCCATCCTGCAAGAAGGAAAGAGAGTTATGGCTCTGGCTGGAGGATTATACAGAAGCCAGGAAACATCATATGCATTGTATTAGAGGTCAGCAGAACACACAGGACTGAACTGGGTCTGACTTCCATCTGCACACTACATCCAGATGAAGAGGAGTTCAGCCCCCAGCAATGTGAACGAAGCATCAAAGCCTACTGGACTGGGGAGATTGTCAGCACACACATACAGCGTGGTCTATGAAGCAGCAACACCTTATGCAGAGCTGTGATTAGTAGAATACACTCCGCCCCCGGCGCCCCAAAAGCTTACAATCCAAGGCAGGAAAGAGATACAGAAGGTCCAGCAAAGGATGCAATGTGTTCAATCTGAGGGGTCAAAGTTCAGCAATCCGGGAGGACCAGTTACCAGAGATCAGAGAATTCTACTCAGTGATCGGACTGAAGAAGAGTTCCACCATACACACAGCAAATCATATACCCCGTGTCACCCATCAGGGCTCAATCATGTGTGGGTGGTTCTGGGTGTATGTACAGCGGGCGGTGTGGGTGGTTCTGGGTGTATGTACAGCAGGCGGTGTGGGTGGTTCTGGGTGTATGTACAGCAGGCAGTGTGGGTGGTTCTGGATGTATGTACAGCAGGCGGTGTGGGTGGTTCTGGGTGTATGTACAGCGGGCGGTGTGGGTGGTTCTGGGTGTATGTACAGCAGGCGGTGTGGGTGGTTCTGGGTGTATGTACAGCAGGAGCCGGGCCCCATCTTTCCTCTCTGGATCCATAAAGGTTCCTCCTGCCTAGAAATGATCGGACTCTTACAGGATACACTGACCAGAGAAATATGGAGGCTGCCATTGGTGACATCTCCTGGCTGGCGGTGACCCGGAAAGAGAAGGAGGACTTCTGTAATGATCATCTGCACACGTGCTCTGGGTCAATGATCTGAAGCCAGAGGATCACCATAACAGTGCTCGGCCTCCATCCCTCCCCGGTTGTCACCCCATGAGCTTCGAGGAGAGCAGCCTACAACATGATCATGTGACACGGGGGGGGGATACAGCATGGAATAAAACACAGAATCTATAACATGCTTAGGGCAGAATTAAAGCCCCCTGTGTGACATCATTCTATTACCCCAAATAACTGGATGTCCCCCTTTGGGGTGCCCTTTTTATGGAGCACACTGCACACGGGGGGGCCGTAGACTGTACAAGACAGGGGCCTACATGGAGTACATAGAGACAATATGTGACCTCGGGGAGAAGTGGGCCGGTCAGGTTCATATATGATCGATATACATGGGATGTGTGACCGAGGCGTGTGAATGGGACGGAACAGGAGCAATCTATTCCGCACGAAGACAGGACGGCTCGGAGGTTCTCTGAAGATATCATTTACAATTATCCAACAGACATAAGAAAACACTTTCCAACAGTATAGCGCCCCACAAATAAGGGGGTGCCGGCCCCTGTGCCCACATCTGTGGCACCGGTCATCACTATGAATGGTAAAATGTTGGTATCAGGACGGGCAATGTGGCCCTGTGAGGCCAGCTGTAGGATGGCTGCTGCATACAACTCCTT